CTGCAAAGTCAGGCTCTTCAACACTGTCTGCAGTGTTTCCTCCCTTCCCCTGATGGTCTTCCCTAAAGGGTCCTTCAATACAGGTTCAATTGTTCTTGCCCGATTAATTAGTGATCGGGAGTAATTACCGTTTACTCTAATAAAGCAATCTACCAGCAATTTACTATTTACTTCCTAGAAAAAGTATCTGGTAAAACAAACAAACAAACAAACAAACAAACAAAACTGCTGTATAATAGTTACTGTAACAGGCCATAGAGCTTTGAAGAGGTCAGGGCAAAGTCCAGCAGCTTTGCCTTCCCAGAGGGCCTCACCCAAACATCCCTGTTTCATTCTTCCTGTGCCCCAGCTCCCTCACCCTCAGGAAAGGTCCAAATCTCATCCTGGGATTCAAGATCCTTCACACATGACCCCACCTCTCACCCTCTCCAACCTTATTTCTTCTCCTCTAAACTTCCTTTCTCTCTCTGTCGAGGTTGGGAGGGTCCACTTTAGGCCTTCCTGCCCAAAGGTACAAGCCCATTCTTAAGGTGAGAGGGAGGAGGATTGAGGGAGAGGGGAGGAGTTGGCTGTCTCCCTCAAAAGGTGCTAAGAAATCCCTCTGCTAGGCTGAGGTCCAACTCCAGGACTCAAGGAGAGGAAGGGCCTCTGATCTGCCTTCTTCTGGTGGAACCAAGTCTTCACAGATGCCTACCTGGGATGAGGGTGAGGAGGCAGATGGTGCTCAGTGATCACTGGGGCTGGCTGAAGCACATACCTATGTGAGGTACCTTTTCATACAGCTCAGAATAATCTAGTATGTGTGGAATTACAGCCAGCCAGGTCCCAGGTGGGGAGCCAGAGGCCAGAGTGGCTTTTCTGTCTGGAGTAAGGGAGCTGGTGGTCCAGGAGCCTTGCGGGTCCTAGAGTACTGAGCATCACCTGTGCGGATGGGAAACTATGCAGAGATGGTGATCTAGTTTGCATTGCTGTTACAATGTCCCCTTCCCTCTTCTCCATTCGAGCAATTAGCTCTGTGCCTGTTGCCTTGAGGTGGGAGTGGAGAGTAAATCACAGGGTAGGAAGTAGGAGACTTGAAAACCATCCTGGATTTGGGGTTCCAAAAGCCCAAGCCCTTACAGACCTGAGGGTTTAGGCCAGTGGCCTTCAAATGTTTGCTTGCATTCCCCTAAAATCAGTTTAAAAAACTACATACCCTCTCACACAAGACAAGCTACATAAATTGTAGCATCCAGTGAACAATGAAAACATGGACCCCTGGTTAAAACATTAACAATTTCAAGAAGGCAACAGCATGGCATTAAAGCCAAGCACAGAGCCCTTCTGAGTGTGGGGCCCTGTGGGGCCGCATGGTTACGCATCCATGAAGCCAAGCCTGCTCTCACACATTAAGTTAACATGTAAAAAAGTAAGTTTAAGCACTTACAAAAGATGCAATTTCATTATACTGTACATTGTATACTTGCTTTAAATGTAATTTTCTTCCAGTTTTCAGAGCCACATAATAAGCTAATTTAAGGCATGAGAAATGTTTGTCATGACTGCTCAACACTGAACAGATAAGCAAACTGTGCTACTTCCATACAATGGAATACTATTCAGCAATAAAAAGGAAAGCTATCGCCACACAACATGGATGAATAATTATACAGAGGAAGAAAAGCCAGGCAAAAGAGAGTATATACTGTATGAAAATGCAAAAGAAAGCAGATCAGTGATTGCCTGGGGAGAGGGGAAGGGGTGGGAGGAAAGGATTACAGTCGGGGAACCATGTGGCAGAATTCTCCCCAGTGGTGCGCGAATGAAAAGGATGTACAGTCATTTCTGGGTACGGCTCATAAGAACATCCAATGAAACCCTCACTCTATCTCCTTTCCCATCCTCTAGTTGAATGAAGAGGACTTTGTGAGCTTATGGGCAGAGCCACAGGTAGGAGACTGGATCTCTTGAGTGTTTGCAAAGTTCCTCCAAGTGGCATTGGCCTGTGACATGAATTATGTCTAAGGTTTTCAACCCTTGCCACCTGTAGTTTGTTACAGCAGCTAACCAACCCTGACTAATACATAGTCCAATGTAATCACCCTGCTAGAAGAGAGCTGGCTGGGCCCCTCAAAGTAAGGCTGCACACAAGGGCTCAGGCTAGTTCCCTGAGGCTTGCAAATTGGGCTCAGTAGGTGCGTCAGCCTTGGGGAAGGGACAGTCCATACTGCTGGGCCAGTTTTCTCATGAAGCTGTGGAGCAAGGCCTGAAATGTGGGGAAGAAGACAGTCTGGTAGCCACGGAAGGGGCCCTACTGCCCATCGGGCTTTTAAGAGGTTCTTTTGATGAATGTTCTGGGACAAAATAACCTTTTGCTCTGAAGCCATTCTTGGCAGTCTATCCACATTCATCTTCCTCAAAACTTCCTGTTGCTAAGCCTGCAGTTTCCTTCCTTCCAAGTCTCTGACCAATGGATGAAACCATTATCCAATGCCCAGGAATCGGTGTGCCTTTATTTCAGGATCTCTGCACCGACTTTGCTTTTCTACACCCTTAGGCCTTCTCTGAGGAAGACTGGAACACCCTAGCAATCCACTTCTGGCTGGAGCCAGCATACCACTTGGCTTTAGGTTTTTCTTTCTCAGTCAACTCATCATAAACAACTGTCCACGAGGCCATTACTACAGGTTGAGGCAGAGGGCAGGTGGAGAATGTAAGCAACTTGCTCAGGCAACCTACTTGTGCTTTAGGACTTGCTTGGACCCAGCCCACATATGTCACTTCCTCTTGATGATGGAGTGCTGCTAGCCACCTCTGATTTTACAGCTGGTTAGATCAGATAACACTAAGCTCAGGTTACGTAGTCACCTGGTATGCCATGATCAGGTATCCAATCTCACCAGACCCCTGGAGCAAGCCAGGAGCTATTTCTCAAAAGACAAATAACTATTTGCTGAAGGAGGGCATAACTTTGCTCCAAAATCCAATGCTTGAGTATTAAGGCCAAAGCCAGAACTGCTTACTCTGTAGCTTGGTAAGAAGACCTCTTTCCTTGTTGTGATCCTCCCCCTGAAATTGGCAGCTTCCAACTAATCCAGTAACTGGTCAAAATAATGTACCTAAATATATCTCTGTTACCTCTCAAGTCTAAAGAAGCTCAGCAAGTACTGCACTTCTTTCTTAGCAGGGAGTGTGATGTACAGCAGCTTATCCTTCATTTTGTAGGGAATATCTCAACACACCCCAGACTCCTAGGTAGCTCACTGACTAGACGAGCCCCTGTATATTTGTGGGATTTATTATCCATCCTCTTATTCACATGATGCCTTACTAAGTCATCTAGGGTAGCTGTTACTTTCTGCTCTCAAGGTCCATAAGGATGATGTCATTGGTGCCATAGTAGATTAGCCTGGTATCCATTAAAATGGTGATCCCTGTGTGTCCAGACAATGACATACCCCTGAAGCAGTAAAGGTTTACTGCTGTCCCTGCCAGATGAACGCAAACTACTCCTGATGTTTAGTATAGAAGAGTAAGAATTGACTAGACTGCTGGTTGCCTTTTATAGGTCAACACTGTGCCAATCTGCTCCAAGAAGGACCACATCTGGAAGAGTTCCTGGGGTCCTTACCAGGATAAGTCTATCATAATGCTCTGTCATTCTTTAAGGCCATCTCTCTTCTATTCTAGCAAAATTGAAAAGGTAATACTGATGTGATGGGAATCACCCTGCATCTTTCAAATCTGTGATGAGATAAAGTACTATTTTTGATTTATGTTCTTCTTGGTAGTTAAGGAGAGCTCCAGGACCTTCCATTTTGCTCTTCTTCTCAAAATAGCCCTTGCTGCATGCGTTAGGAAGCCAACGTTAAGATTCTGTCCCTGTCGATGGTATCAATAGCAACTCTCCATATAACCACCGTATGGTTTCGGAGTACCAATGGCCCAAGCCTAAGCAGACTGCACTCAAAACACTTTTAAAAAATTTGTACCAAGTGCATGTATTATACAGTATATTCACAAGGGAGGGAGGAAAATCTCATTTTTAACAAATATATAATTATTAAATTTTTAAAATCCTCTCCTGCCCATACCACATTTTTGGAAACACCGACCTAGTACGTGGCCTGGTCATCTCGTCTTTGTCACACTGGTTGTAACTATACATTCACATGTCCACCTGCTCCACCACACTCTGGAACAAGGAGCTAGGTCTTAGTCCAGCCGTCCCAAGCGAAGAACGCTGGACTCCTAGTGGACCGTAAGTTGCAAATAAAGACCTAGACTTTGTCTTCGTCACTTTCATCTCAGGCTGTCCACAAGCCCATGAATTCTGGCTGGATGATATAGAGCAATCTTTTGTACGCCTTTTATTGCCTCAATTTTTCTCCGCTGCAAAATGGGAACGAGCCGTACCTACCTCGCCATGCTGTTAAGAGGAGTCAGGCGATGGATGTGAAAGTACCACAGCACTATAGAAATTAAAGCGCCCAGGGCGGTGCAGCGCGATTACCACGGCGTTACACGCGTTCCTCCTGCAGGTCGCATCCTTCCAGTCCGGGGTGGGGGTGAAGGGCGTCTCCCCACCAGGGTTTTAGCCCACAGAACTCCGGGTGGTGACCTTTTTCAAAATGGCGCAGGCAGCCTCGGGGGCTAGTGCGGCGGCGCGGACTCCGCGTGCCCTCTGACCTGCTGGCAGTGGGAGGAGGGGGAGCCGGGCGCCGCCATATTGCCTGTTGTCCTGTGAGGGGAGCGGCGGCGGCGGCTGCGGCGCGAGTGCTGTAAGGGAGCGAGCTGCAGCATGACTCGGAGGCGGAGCAGGCCGAGCGGCGGCGCGGGCCGGCGTGAGCGGGCTCGGGCCGTGGGGCCGCAGAAGCCGCAGGCGCCCGAGCCCCCGCCGCCGCCGTGCTTGGAGGCGGGAGCGGGTGCAGGGCCCCCGGAGGTGCCGGCGGAGCCCGACCGCGACGGCCCCAGGGAGGAGGACGAGCCCAACCTGGCGCCCGGCCCGCAGGTAGGAGCGAGCGAGGCGACTTCGGCTGCTCGGTCGCTTTCACCTCCATCCTGAAGTGTCCTGCCCTGGCTGAGGCCGGAGCCTTCTCCCCAGGTCCGGGGCTGAGGCTTTCTCCCCCGGGGTGAGAATGGAGGCTGATCCCTTTCTCCAAAGCCGAGGCTCGGCCGGTGCTCCTGCGACCAGGCTGAAGCCTCTCCTCCTCCCCGCCGCGTCTGGGCTGGAGCAGAGGCTGAGCATTCTGGTCATACACCCACACGGGCACTCGGCTCTGATCCTGAGGTCACAGCTGGGCTCCCTGCCTTCCACCTCCCTTTGGGCCCACCTGCTCCCTCACTCACCCCGGGCCATCTCAGGGCGCCAGGGCCTGGAAGGCTGCAGCCTCTTCCCTCTCTCCTGGGAGCGCTTCCTCTCCTTCCCCTGCACTGCTTGCAGCCACTGCCCCCTCAGCAGCTGTGCCCCCAGCATCTGTCTCCTGGGGCCTCCCTCCTCTCCCTGCCCAGCAGAGCAGTTGGAGCAGACAGCCAGGCTGCCCGGTAGACTTTTTGGTGGGGCTTCTGCACTGAGGTGGAAGCCCAGCAAAACCTGCCCTGTCTTCCCTCCATACCCCTAGCCCACAAGGCAGCCCACCCCGACCCTCAGATCTCTCCCTGGTTTGGAGAATCCTGCTGAGAGTGAGCAGTAGCAGTATTCTCCAAAGCTTCCAGCTTGGCACCTGGAGGAAGGTCACTTTCTTTTGAGCAAAGGAGATAATGGGAGGTACCCTGCCAGTGTTCACTGAGAGGCGGGGGTGGCATGGGCTACAGTTGCTCTGGGAGGGTTGTGGCACCCGGGGCTGGGTGGCTCTCCCTAAGCTTGCTCTGACAAAAGAGTTTTTGAGTTGGTCTTTTGGCTGAGCCTGCCGAGGAAGGCAGGCTCCTGCAGGAGTCTTGGAGGGTCGGATGCAGCGCCGGATGAGGATGAGGCGTGGCGGAAGATGCGTTTGGCTCTGCAGACACTGCATCGGGCAGCAGGGGACTCTGGGAGGCTGGTGCAGCCAGAACGCATGGCTCTTGACAGCCTTCTAGTAGAATCTCTGGAATTGTGCATGTGAGTGGGGATGCCGTTTGGGGTACCATTCCCAGAAAGCCTTCCCTGACCCCCCCTAGTTGAGTCAGGTGTCCCCTCTGTGCCTCCCTCTGGGAGCACTTCCCATTCTATGATGACACGTTCTGTTGATGTGTCTGTTCCCCACACTGAACTGTGAACTCCACAGGGGCACAGACTATGTCATCTATCTCTGATGACATGCCTAGCCTTGCTGATACAGAATATAATAAAAATAACTAGGTAAATGAGAGAATGACTTAGTTCAGAAACTGCTTATTGTAACCCAGTTTTGATGCTGGTCTCCTTTGTATCTTAGATCACAATAAGAAGGTTTTTAATTAATGAAAATGTCACCTCTTATTGAGTGTCAGAAGCCCTATCTTCACCCCCAACCTCCTACCCTGGGCTGACACTGGTTCCAAAGGAGACTCTCCAGGTTGGACTGCACCCTCGCTGAGTCTGGCTTCCAACTCTGAGGCTGCTTCTCCCTCTAGCCTACTGTAGTCCCCCTGGGAGTGCTGTTATCCAAAAAGGGAGAGTGGGAGAAGGGAGAGCCAGGGAGCTGTTGTCTTCCCTCCTTCCCATTCAGACCATACAATACTTTAGGGTCCCTGCCACATGGAGGTGCCAAAAAGCTTGGATGGTGGCTTAACAATTCAGTTTTTATTGAGGACACAACTTTCCCAAGAGCTATAAGCTTCATTAACTCCTCTGATCTCTAGATTTCTAGCTTGTTCTTGTCTACTCCACTGCTTGATCTGCCAGTTCATTCATTTATTCGTGCCAGGCACTTTACATGCCTTCCTTTTAATCTTCCCACCTCCCCTGTATTTCTTCTAAGCATTAGCACAAATGTGATGTTAACTATTGATGTTATTATTTGTCTTTATGTAAACTCTGAAAGTGCAGGAGCCATGTCAGTCACCATTGTACCCCTGTGCCTGGTGACTAACAAATGTTAATGAACAAACTGAAAGATATAAGTATTATTACCCTGTTTTTCAGATGAAGAAACAGAAACTCAGAGCAACTAAACATTTGCCTGTAATTAAAGCATCGCAGAAAAAAAGAAAAAAAAGTAAACATTTGCCCAACTGACTCCTACTATAGTTGTCAGGCCAAAAAAAGAGGGGAAGGGGACACTTTTATATACTTCGGGAGATTTTTAACAAAACTTGTATTTTTTACTATACCCACAAAACGGTGAAACAAACTGACAAACTCTATTTTGATTGTGTCCCACTTTTAGCTGGGCTGGGGGTGGGATTTGGATGCCAGAAGCAGACTTTTGTGCCCTGGTGAAAAGTACCCAGCAAAAGAGTAGGGTTCAGTCATTCCTCTGCCTGTGGGCGTGCCTTTGGTGAGGCGCTCTGGCTCCCACCGCTGCTCTAAACCCTGTCTAATGTGAGCCTGTATTTTAAAAACCAAAAGATTTCCCATAAATCTGGATCTATGCCTCTTCCCAAACTCTAAAGATCTGGTGATGCTGGGCCCCACACATTTCCACAAGGCCGAAATCTGTAGTCTCTGAGTGGCAGCTGACCTCTTTAGATAGCATGTGCTGCTTAGGCCTCTCTGGTTCTCTCCAGGCCCCATCGCTCAATTGTACAACCTGTGCACATTTAAATGCAGGAGCTTAATTAGGATCCCAGAAGTCTTTAGTTTCAGTTGTTTCAGGCCACTAAACCACGTTGATCTGTTCCCTAAGAACCCAAATCCTCTTTACTTCCCAAGAAGACTAAGACACTTACTGCCTTATTAGCAAAGAAAAAACAAACAAAAAAAGAACCTAAAAAGCAGTTGAAGGAAGCAGTGGGGAATAATGTTTACAGACTTGGGTTGAACTTCCAACTCAGCCTCCTTCTACCTTTGTGACTCTGGGCACATTTTTCTCCTCTTTGAGCTTCATCAACAACTTCACAAGAGAATGTGAAGCAACCTATGTAGCATCTAGTACGTAGAGGCTTCTCACTCAAGAATAGGAGTCAGTGCTGGCAGAAGTTGTACCAGGTGCCATCCAGCTTGAGTGTTCTCACCTGCTAGTTCTGCTTGCTGTCTTTGGTCTCTCTCGGACCACTCAGCTGATAATCCAGGTGTACACTCAGTCAGGCCCCAGGAGACTTGCTATAATAGAATGTTAAACAACCAGTTGATGGGGTTTGGGGTGAGGTCATCCTACCCTTCCCTACCTCTTGTTGCCTGCTACCCCTGATCTCTGCAGCATTCCCTGGGACTGTGCCAAGTCTAGTTTAAAAGGACTCTTAGAGACTTGGTTCTCTCACAGCTCCCTCAAGGAATTGGAGCAGATGATCAATCAATATCTTTAATAAGACCATCTCATTATATTTAATTCACTCAGCAAGCATCAAAACAACCTCTATGCCAGGGTCTTTATTTGGGATGTACAGATGGGTGAGATAGTCCCTATCCTCAGGGACTTCCCCCTATAGGGTCACTGCCCACCCAGCATGCACTACTTCCATTGCCAGTGGGAGAAAATGACACTGTAGGGATCCCTGCCACCTCTCGTGGTTCTTTGTAAGCCAGTAGAGACTCGCAAGGTAAAAATGCCAAAAGCCCTTTGAAGATGAAGAGTTATCCACTCAGGGTTTAAAATTTTTAATTTCCTTAAAATGTCCCAGAGCTGATATGTCTGATATCAGATGGATGATCCTAACACTTTACTTACTGCACCTAGAATTTTTGAGAGCAAGGTCTATGTTTTAATTCATTTGGAGGGTATGTATTGTGCATGGTCCTTATTGCTCAATACATGGCTGTTACACTAAATTATAATATTAAGTAAAAGAAATAAGTTATGTTTCTACCATTTTTTATTCTCTTTCTTTTTTTTGAGATGGAGTCTTGCTCTGTCACCTGGGCTAGAGTACTGTGGCATCAGCCTAGCTCACAGCAACCTCAAACTCCTGAGGCTCCTGCCTCAGCCTCCCAAGTAGCTGGGACTACAGGCGCACGCCACCACGCCTGGCTAATTTTAGTAGAGATGGGGTCTAACTCTTGCTCAGGCTGGTCTCGAATTCCTAACCTCAAGTGATCCTCCTGCCTTGGCCTCCCAGAGTGCTAGGATTACAGGCGTGAACCACTGTGCCCGACCCCTTTTTATTCTTAACCTGCCCCCACAGCTGGGCCAGGCTGGCAGTCATTCATTCCTTTAGGCCAGCCACTGCACACATGCTGTGATGCCCAGTCTTCCTCTCACCTGGCATTTATTCTGCAAACATTGACCAACCCCTGATCGGTGAGAGGACCTGAGCTAGCTGTGAATGCTGAAGTGAATCAAATGTGGTCCCTGCCCACAAGGAGCTCATAGTCTAGATAATATGTATATAGTAATTGTAGTTTAGAACAAGTAGTATAGCATCTGCTTCCTCTGAATAAAGTTTCAAATCCTAGATCCTATTAAGATCTAGTAAGTGGCCTTTGGAAGTGTTTCAGCCTCTTGGTTTGTTTTCTCATGTATAAAATGACAGTGAACCCAGGCTTACAGGGTTATGTTAAGGTCCAGCAAGTCCTACATGCTTAGCACAAGTGGGAGCTATGAGTATTTTAGATACCTGATGCTGAGGTTGCCTGAAACATGGTAACCTAGGGGAGAATGGGTAAGAGAAGGCTTCTCAGAACTGAGTCTTCAAGGTTAAGTAGAAGTTTTTCAGAGGACAAGATGAGAGAAAGGGGTCTAAACAAAGAAAGTAGCATATACAGAGACCCAGAGGTGAGAATTACCCAATTCATTTGGAGAGTGGGGAGAGAGATCAGGCTGGAGGAGTTAGCAAGAGGAAACTGAACAAAGAGGTTTGAGTTTTATCCTGCAGGCAGTGAGGAATCAATGAAAAGTTTTAAATAGGAACGTGAACGTGCTGTGCCTCAGTAAGTTCTCTCTGATAGCATGTGAGGAAGTAATTCTCAGTGGGAGAGGCAACTGTGGTCGCTTGATTCCTCCTCCCTCTCCTCAGCCTCGCTCATCATCAGATCCTCTGTGCTTTGCTGGACTCTATCCCAGACCTACAGAATCAGAGTCTCCAGGTCTAGATCCCAGGAATCTATTATTGAATTGCCCTGGGTGATTCTGACATCTGGCTGGGTCTGGGAACTGCTGAATCGAGAGTGCCGTGGGGATCCTTGAGAACTAAGGTATTCTTCAAAGAATGGGATTTCCCAGGGAGGAGCTTTTCCATAAGCAGAAATAGAAACAACCTTCCCTCAGGTCTGCCTTATTAATGATAGTAATAAGACAACTGCTAATTTTCCTTTGTGTATCAAAATGCTTACCCTGCCTGCTGTGTGCTACAGCCTCTGCTGAATGATTGCAGTGCAGCGATTCATGGGACACAGGCTATGTCTTTGAAAAACTCATAGTATTGTGGAGAAGACAGATTTCAACCAATAGGATGTATGTGATAAGCTCTAGTCTAGAGATGTGTAAAAAGGTGTCAGGGCCTCCCAGAGCCAAGCCCAGTTCATCTTCTGTCTATGGACTTACCAGGATATAACACTCAGACTGAGCCAAAAGAGAAGAGGCGGAGGGAACAGCATGCACAAAGGCTTTCTGCTTTATATATTGGGGGAAAGGAATGTTTACTAGTCCTTTGTGGCAGGATGTGCAGAAGCAGAAAAGGACCGAGGAGAGTCATACTTACATTCCAGGAAGGGCCCTGTGTTTGTGCCCTCTGGTTTTGTGCCCATGCTTACACCCTCATCCTTCAAACTCTAGGCGGCTCCCAGCCAAATGGCTGTGAGGTTATGCAGCCTGTGGGTGAATATGCTGCAGTCCTATAGGCCATCTCCCCTTTATTCTCTACCCAGGGGTCTTAGCTCCCTTTGTGATTTCCCAGTCCATTCTGAAATGAGTAGATCTCTCTCTCTACTCTGAAAAGTGATATAGGGAAACTAAAGCAGAAAGAAGGGGCCAGAGGGACAGCAAACACTGAAGGTTCTTACTAGGAAATTACCACCAGAAAACATGGACTTGGGGGTTCAAAGAGACCTTGAAGGTTATTTGTCTAGTCCTCTGTCCCATGCTTCAAGTAATTAATTTGGTTTGGGCAAGTCTCAGGAATTTTCCCTGTCATTTCTTCTAGGACAGAAGAGGAAAGAAACTAACGGGTATTGAGCACCTACTGTGTGCCAGGCCCAGGCCAGGTACTTTACATAATTTATTTCCTTCTGTCCTCACAACTCTGTGAAATATGGTTTTATTCCTATTTATAAATGAGGAAAATGAGGCTCAAAAGTATTAAGTAATAGTCCAAGATCATACTGAAAATGGCAGAACTGAGATTTGAACTCACAGCTCTCCAGAGTTCATGCTTCTCCCTCCATCCCCAGGCCCCACCCCGTGAGAAACCCATGCTGGGGTTAGTATTAAAGTGGCAGTTTGGCCTGAGGATCCAGGTAAATCCGCAGCTTGTCCTTCCTTGTGGTTGGTAGCACTCAGGAAGCAGATTCAATGGATGAGCTAGCCGTGTGGTGTAAGGGGCCACTAGAGTCAGAGAGACTCACTGCCTTATCCTTAATTCACCTTGTGCAACCAAAGAGGACTCTCCACAAACTGGTCCTTATGTTGAAAAACAGATGTTCTGCCTCCTGGAAGGGCCTGAGCCCACAGCCTGAGTGGGAGGTTTGGGTAAAGGCTTCAGGGCACTAAGGTGGGGTTGTGTCAGCTCTCTGTTGTTTACTACAGCTCTGATTGTCAGCATTAGAATGGTTTGAGATTCTTGTCATGGGTTGCCCTCTCATCAGTGTCTCAGAGTGATGCAGCCTTGTCTTTAGCATAGCATGTCAGGAAAGGGGCTGGTTTGTGTTTTATTTATTTTTATTTTAAACTTGGTTTTTAGAGATAGGGTCTCACTCTGTCACCCAGGGTAGAGTGCAGTGGCACGATTATAGCTCACTGTACCCTTGAACTCTTGGGTTCAAGTGATCCTTCTGTCTCAACCTCCTGAGTAGCTAGGACTATAGGCGTGTACCACCATCCCCCCCGACTCATTTTGAAATTTTTTGTAGAGACGGGGTCTAACTTATGTTGCCTAGGCTGTTCTCTAACTCCTGGCCTCAAGCAATTCTCCCACTTTGGCCTCCCAGAGTGCTGGGATTGTAGGCACGGGCCACCATGGCTGACCAACTGTGTTTTAAATTCTATCCTTTGTGTCAAGCAGCTGAGACATGAGCCAGATAGGCTTTAAGCATTCATTCATTTATTCAATGAATGCCTGCTGTGTGCCAGGCCCAAGCCAAGCCTGGGTTCCTGGGCATACTTAAATGATCAAGATCCACATCCTGCCCCCAAAGAGCTCACATTCTACCAGGCGGTTGGGGACAGACAGAGAATACAACTATGGCACAGTGTGATAGGTGCTATACTAAAAGGATTAGTTCTACTTAGCATGGGCCAGAAAAAGGTTCATTGACCTTTGACCAGGATCTTAGGGGATGAGTAAGGATTTGCCAGGGAGTAGAAGTTTCCCAGAATGTAGCATTACGGTTGGTAGGAGGTAGGGACTCTGAGAATGTTTGTTGGATGTGGCAATGAATGGGTGAATGGAAGAGTAAGTGATGATAACTGGGCTGATGAGTTTTTCTAGGCTGGGGATTAATCATTTTCTCTGCATCTGAAAGCGAATTTTAGCTGCTATTATTGTCTTCTGCCTGCCTTGGTGACAAAGAGGCTCTTGGAGTTGGGTGCCTTGAGAGTAGAGTGCTCTAATGGGCCATTTCAGAATAGAGTTTGGAAGCTCTTGCAGGGCAGCTGGTTAAATACAGCATGTGTCTTGGGCAAATCCTGTACAAACATAGATGAACTCTTGAGACTAAAAGGAATCCATGGAAGAAATGAGACCAGGTTGAGGGCTGGAAATTCAATCCAGCTTCAGAGCAGTCCTTGACAACTGCCTGGTCTGGTAACTGCGGTTATTCCCACATTGTGGACAGAAGGGCCAAAGTGGAAAATTGAGTCATGCCCTCAAAGAACTAACCTGATATGCCATAAACTGTATAATCATTGTTAATAATCACTATTGCCCATTGTGCACCCACTGTGGCAGGCACCACTAGAGGCTTTGCATCAGCAGCTTTCATAGTGTTTGGTCTCGGGACCCTTTTACATTCCTAAAAATTATTGAGGACCCCAGAGAGCTTTTGTTTATGTTGGTTTTATCTATGGATATTTACCAAATTAAGTATTAAAGCTGAGAAAGTTTAAAAATATTTAGTCACTGATTCATTTAAGAATAACAATATTAAAGCTATCACATTAACATAAATAGCATTTTTTTTTTTTTTTTTTTTGAGACAGAATCTTGCTCTGTTGCCCAGGCTAGAGTGCCGTGGCGTCAGCCTAGCTCACAGCAACCTCAAACTCCTGGGCTTAAGCGGTCCTACTGCCTCAGCCTCCCAAGTAGCTGGGACTACAGGCATGCGCCACTATGCCTGGCTAATTTTTTCTGTATATATATATATT